TTCTTGAGTTGGGGGGAGCTCCACCCTTTCTTCTTGAGTGTATGCTCTCTTCCATCTTTAAAACGGCGACGGAAACAATCAGGACCCCCTCCCCATATCAGGAAAGAAAGGAGGTCTCTTCTTGCCGAAGGGTAAACGGTGCCCTCTTCTTTCTCATGAAATTAGAGCGGCCTGTTTGCTTTGTTGAGATGGCGCTTTCTTTTGTACCATTAGTTTGGAGGACGCTCTCAGTCTCTTCTTGTCGAGGATGAGGCAGAGGATTTGTCTTTTTGGAAGCTAATTCAGAGCATGGGGTAGAGGGCTGCTCATGTCTTGTTGAAGGGTGAGGGGAGGATCAGACTTTTCTTTTGAAGATTGAGCGAGCTCTGTCCTCACTTCTTGAAAGCTATCCCTCTTCTATCCCTTGAAGAGGAAGAGGGGACGACAAGGAGCTCCTCTCTCTTCTTGTCGACGAAGAGGCAGCCGCAGTTCTTATTGAAACTGGAGATGCGTTGAGCCTTGTCTTCTTCGACTAGAAGCGAGCTCCCTTCAATTCTCTTCAGAGGAGATGGAGACCTACCAAGAGAGAGAGGAGCTCGCTGCTAGAAATCAGCTGAATGACTTGGAGGGACTCTCTCCGTGTTTTCGTTGAGGGGTGGGGCATCGCCGCCCTTTCTTCTTGAGCGTATGCCCTTTTCCATCTTTTGAAAAGGTAAGGGAAGTAATCAGGATCTCTTTCCACTGCCAAGAGAGAAAGGAGGTTTCTTCTTCTTGTGCGTATGCTGTTCTCCATCTTTTGAAAAGGTAAAAGAAATGCTCAAGATCCAACCCCTTATGAAGAGAGAAAGGAGTTATCTTCTTTCCGACCGATGGGTAAACGGAGACCTTGAATTCTCGTGAAGTTGGAGGGGCCTGTCTGCTGGGCTGAGATGAAGCTCTCTTGCGTCTCATTACATGGGAGGAAGCTCTCAGTGATTTCTTGTGGAGGATGAGGTAGAAAATCTTTCTTTTTGGAAGCTAGGGGAGCTCTGTCCTTTCTTGCTAGGAGCGAGGTCTCTTCAGTCTTCTTAAGACGAAAAGGCGACATACCAAGAGGTAAGAAGGATGCTCTCTTCTGCTGCCACAAATCACCTGGGGACTGCCTTCTTGTTTTGGAGCATGAGGCTTTTTCCGTTTAAATGCTGAGGGATGACCAGATGTCTCTACTTGAAAATTGGGGGAGCTCCACCCTTTCTTCTTGAGCGTCCTCCCCTTTTCAAGAAAGAATGGAGGTCTCTTCTTGCCGAGGGGTAAACGGGGCCCTCTTCTTTTTTGTGAAGTTGGAGCGGCCTGTTTGCTATGTTGAGATGGCGCTTTCTTCTGCCGCCTTAGATTGCTCTTAGTCTCTTCTTGTCGAGGATGAGGCAGAGGATTTTTTTGGAAGCTAATTCAGAGGATGGGGTAGAGGGCTGCTCATGTCTTATTGAAGGCTAAGGGGAGGATCAGACTCTTCTTTTGAAGATTGAGACAGCTCAGTCCTCACTTCTTGAAAGCTATCTCTCTTCTATCCCTTGAGGAGGAAGAGGGGACGACAAGGAGCTCCTCTCTCTTCTTGTCGACTGAGAGGCAGCCGGAGTTCTTTTTTTCCCGTGAAGTTGGAAGGGTTCTCTGCTCATTTGAGATGCTGCGGTAGAGGATGTGCCAAGGGATCTCTTCCTTACCTTTTTGGGGAAAAGAAGCTCATTTCTTGCGGATGACGAAGCAGCGAGCTCCCTTCATTTATCGTCAGAGGAGATGGTGGGAGGAAGCTCTCAGTGATTTCTTGTGGAGGATGAGGTAGAAAATCTTTCTTTTTGGAAGCTAGGGGAGCTCTGTCCTTTCTTGCTAGGAGCGAGGTCTCCTCAATCTTCTTAAGACAAAAAGGCGACATACCAAGAGGTAAGAAGGATGCTCTCTTCTGCTACCACAAATCACCTGGGGACTCCCTTCTTGTTTTGGAGCATGATGTCTTTTCCTTTTAAATGCTGAGGGATGACCAGATGTCTCTACTTGAAAATTGGGGGAGCTCCACCCTTTCTTCTTGAGCGTCCTCCCCTTTTCAAGAAAGAAAGGAGGTCTCTTCTTGCCGAGGGGTAAACGGAGCCCTCTTCTTTCTCGTGAAGTTGGAGCGGCCTGTTTGCTTTGTTGAGATGGCGCTTTCTTCTGCCCCTTTAGATTGCTCTTAGTCTCTTCTTGTCGAATCCTCGAGGCAGAGGATTTTTTTGGAAGCTAATTCAGAGGATGGGGTAGAGGGCTGCTCATGTCTTATTGAAGGCTAAGGGGAGGATCAGACTCTTCTTTTGAAGATTGAGACAGCTCAGTCCTCACTTCTTGAAAGCTATCTCTCTTCTATCCCTTGAGGAGGAAGAGGGGACGACAAGGAGCTCCTCTCTCTTCTTGTCGACTGAGAGGCAGCCGGAGTTCTTTTTTCCCGTGAAGTTGGAAGGGTTCTCTGCTCATTTGAAATGCTGCGGTAGAGGATGTGCCAAGGGATCTCTTCCTTACCCTTTTGGGGAAAAGAAGCTCATTTCTTGCGGATGACGAAGCAGCGAGCTCCCTTCATTTATCGTCAGAGGAGATGGTGGGAGGAAGCTCTCAGTGATTTCTTGTGGAGGATGAGGTAGAAAATCTTTTTTTTGGAAGCTAGGGGAGCTCTATCCTTTCTTGCTAGGAGCGAGGTCTCCTCAATCTTCTTAAGACGAAAAGGCGACATACCAAGAGGTAAGAAGGATGCTCTCTTCTGTTGCCACAAATCACCTTGGGACTCCCTTCTTGTGTTTTGGAGCATGAGGTCTTTTCCTTTTAAATGCTGAGGGATGACCAGATGTCTCTACTTGAAAATTGGGGGAGCTCCACCCTTTCTTCTTGAGCGTCCTCCCCTTTTCAAGAAAGAAAGGAGGTCTCTTCTTGCCGAGGGGTAAACGGAGCCCTCTTCTTTCTCGTGAAGTTGGAGCGGCCTGTTTGCTTTGTTGAGATGGCGCTTTCTTCTGCCCCTTTAGATTGCTCTTAGTCTCTTCTTGTCGAGGATGAGGCAGAGGATTTTTTTGGAAGCTAGTTCAGAGGATGGGGTAGAGGGCTGCTCATGTCTTATTGAAGGCTAGGGGGAGGATCAGACTCTTCTTGTGAAGATTGAGACCAAGCCGCCGAAGAGTCTGCCGGCGACTTCTCGCTCGAAGCGCTGGCCTGGAAGCCGCATATCGATCAGAACGATCGGCGGCCGCGTTGGCCTTAGCGCGGGCTCAGCCACGACATTTCAGCATCGCACACGAAACCCGGACAGCTCAGTCCTCACTTCTTGAAAGCTATCTCTCTTCTATCCCTTGAGGAGGAAGAGGGGACGACAAGGAGCTCCTCTCTCTTCTTGTCGACTGAGAGGCAGCCGGAGTTCTTTTTTTCCCGTAAGTTGGAAGGGTTCTCTGCTCCTTTGAGATGCTGCGGTAGAGGATGTGCCAAGGGACCTCTTCCTTACCCTTTTGGGGATAAGAAGCTCATTTCTTGCGGACTTGCGGATGACGAAGCAGCGAGCTCCCTTCATTTATCGTCAGAGGAGATGGAGACTTACAGGGAGGTAGAGGAGCTCGCTGCTAGGAATCAGCTGAATGATTTGGAGGGACTTTCTCCGTGTTTTCGTTGAGGGTTGGGGGGAATCTCCACCCTTTCTTGATCCGTCTGTCTACATTCCAAGGAGCCCCACCAATGTCGATGAGGCGAGACGAAAGATTCTATACTTGTATTGAGTATGTATAGAGAGACGTCGGTCCAGTACAATCGCGATATACCTACGTCTATAGTATGCAATGAAAACCCACAGTTTCAGCTGGCGACTATATCCTGTTTAAGCCGGCCACGGGGGTCCCCCCCCCAAGTGCTTTTACGGTGGCCCGCTCCGGAAATCAACTTGGCTTAATCAAAACTGGCAGGATCCTCCAAGACGAGGACAAGTTAGGGTGTGGACACAACGACATGTTTCAACCATGCATGCCCCCAAAAATCATGATTGGAACTTCGGAGTCTCGGCCTTGGACTGTTTTGCTTTGCTTTGCTCGGGGTGTGAGGCGGGAGCAGTCCTCCCGCCCCGCGCAGGTGCGCTACCCCATCCACTATTTTCTGTGGACGGGCTCGGCTGTACAAAGTGACTGGTTCCCTGTTGTTCAGGGTAAGGGGGTGGGTTCCCCTACTTTGAAAAGCAGACCAGTAGTAAAAGACCCGGGTACCCCACTCCAGTTGGAACGAAGGTTTTGCGGGCTGTGGCTCCCGGGCTTTTGAGCAGACATGTTCTACGCAGCGCGAGCGGTGCCTTGGAATGTTTTGCTCTCTCTCTCTCTCTCTCTCTCTTGCTTGCTTGCTTGCTTGCTTGCTTGCTTGCAGAGGGGTATGGGCCTCCGGAGAGACCCTGGCCCGTAGGCCTACCCCCACTAGGGTTCGCGTCACGTGTGTGGGCAGGCCCGCGACTTTCCAATATATGGCTCTACTAGCGGGGCCAGCCGAAAAAGCTGTCGAGGTTGCATTGCTCAGGGAAGCGATCGGAAAAGCACTTGGGGGGGGGGGGCTCCCTCCCCCCGGCTAACAAGGAAACCAACTTGAAATCCACGTGGATTAGGGTACCCCCTCCCTCAGTGTTTTTTAAGGCACCCCCTATTAAACCTTAATGATGTAGAACCAGTAAAGCTTAAGCGATGGTTAAGGCCTAACGTGGGCGAAGAAGCTCATGCAGCTTTCCTGGTCCGATAAACACAAAACTCGTCTCTGTGGCTCTTGTCACAGCCACGCACACGTCGGTTTGGGGTCTGTGCGAGCACAGCTTAAGGTCTGTGCTACGGTTTGGCTCTTCGGGTCCCTATGTCTGAAACTCTCAAAGCCGGAACGGTCGACTCACCGGAGCCATTGAGGATGGAAGATGCTGCCAGCAGCAGACTCCATCTACCCTAGACCCTACACAAACCATCAGCCTGCAGCCTGATCAAATCCGAAGTCTCCACCTGCTCGAATGCAGTTCGGGGGGCGACAAGGTGGTCAACAAGGACGGACCTGAGCTTCAAGAGTCGCCACCAGCAAAAACGTAAGCCACACTCAGGTATAGGCTTGGGGTTGACTGTTGAAGCTGGACGCATATGTATATCAGTGTAATATTATACATATATATATATATATGTACACATACATATATACATGCAGGGTTTAGGACCTTTAGGAAAAGGCAACTCAAGCCCTCAACCTGAAAACCAGCCGCGATAAAAGGAGACTAAGTCGTGCGCAGGCGGCTGAACTTGTGGCGCAGGCCTTGCGTGAAGATGATGAATCGCCAAAGACCGTTTATGGTGTGGAACTTGTCATTCACATCTGCGCGGGCTTGAATCAAAGTGGAGATGACTTGGGCAGAGCCCCCTTCGTTGCCTCGACTGCTTTTGAGGACAACGGCAGCAACAGTACTTAATTTCAGTCAGATAATCATGAAGATAAGCAATGTCGCCAGCTAGACGCAAAGCTGAAATCCATTCTTAGCATCACCCAAGGTGCCCAAAGCGAAGTGCAGGCTGTTCTGTAAGCAGAAGCGCTGGTGCCGGCCGAAGAGCTCCGTCATGGCACCCCTGGATCTTTCGAGAGTTACGTCAAGCAACTTCAGCACTGCATCCAAGAAGACGGAATCCGACCATGAGAGCCAAGATGCACAGAGCCAAAGGCGCAGGCAAGGTTTAACGGGTCAACTCCTCCAACAGCGTGCTTTGAGGACTGCACTGCGCAAGCCTCAACTTTGCAACTCACACATCTACAAGAAAGGATCAAGCTTTGTGGCAACTCCTGTTGTGGGACGCAGACGGCGAGAGTGCCGGAACTAGGAAGAATTTTCAACACCTCTTAGGCTTGAGCGGCTTGAGGCTTCAGTGTAGCATTTGTGCATCAGGTTTGCATGTCGCGCCTAGGCCCTAAACCCCAAACACTAAATCAGTCCTGGAATGGCGTGTTGCCCCAAGTCGGCATGCGCTTCGCCAAGCTCTCGAACGGCGGTGTCGTTGTCGGAGATGCAGGCCTTGTGTTTGAATATCTCCATCGTATGGGGCGTTAGGGTTGTTGTGAGGTATTATTGTGGGTCTTGCTAGGGTTTGATGGCTTAAGGTTGTGTAACTCTGTCTGCCTCTTTATGCCTTAATCCGTTCCCCACACCCAGAAGCCTGACCCTCGAATCCCAAAACATGAACCTCGACGACTTGACAAAGTCACGGAACTGCCTGTTGCTTTGATGCTGAGGACTTCACTGAATAATAACTGATGGGTTTCTCCCCACGCCCCCACGCAGAGACCGTTTTGAACGTTGTTCACGAGCTCTGCCATGATTGCTGTTTCCTCGCTGCGCGTACTACAGCGGCCCCTTCGCCGGAAGCATCTGAGGCGAATCAGGGCACAAGGCATCCCCAGTTTCGGGTTGTCTTAGAAAGGTACTAACGCAAAACCATTGTCCGCTGCTTGCTCATTTGGAGCTCTGCGGTCTGAAGGCCTTCTATCAGCACATCTGGTGTTAATGCGTAGCCTAAGCAAGCAAAGCGGGCCTACGGGGGAAAGGCGGGCATTACTTGAGACCCTATAAACTCTAAATGCCATGAAAACAGTACATGCTACGAAAACCGGGGCCCCGAGTCGTAGACCCCGAAGACCAAAACATGTGAACACCCGAATTCAACACTAGAACCTCGCCCAAACCTAAACACTACAGCCTGTACCCTTTAGGGCCCGAAGCTGTGAACCACAAACCCGATAAGCCCTCAGCCCCTGAATCCAACAAGCCTTACAGAATCCATAAACCTCTACATGTATAACGTATAACCCCGAACCACGAAACCGCAATAGAATCTATTGCTGAATCCAGGCTCTGATCCTGTTCAGCTGGAAAGGATCCCTAGCCCCCAAACCTAATCCCTAACTTATGAACCCCCACACCCGAAACCTCTACACCCCAAACCCTCGAAAACCCGAAACCCTGTAACTCGAAACCCTAAACCTCGCAACCCTAAAGCCATGCAAACCCCTAACCCCCCCCCCCAAAAAAAAAAACAAAACCCAAAAACCCTCGTGACGCTATACCCCGTTTAACCCACCAACAATCCACAGAAAAGTGGCCCAATGAAGCGGAGTCTTCCGATGGCTGTCGCAGGCATAGAGACTCGCCCTGGCAGCCAGGAGCACCTGGGCTCTGGGTTCTAGTAGGGTTTTTCCCCCTATTCCACCCTGACGTAGGGTATAGGGCTGTTTTATGTGTAGGGTTGCAATCGGGTTTGGCAACTTCTTCTCATAAGGTTTTTGAAGGTTCTTCGGCGTTCTTTTGGGTTTGGTAATGTCTTCTTCCGAATTCTGCAGTGTTCTTTAAGTTTAGAGTTAAGGGCTTGTAGGGTTTAGTCAGTCTTATGGGGTTCTTGAGGGTTCTTTGGGATGTAGGAAATTTCAGGTTTCGGGTTTGTAGGGATTGGTAAGCTCTATACGGCTCTGCAGGGTTTAGGGCGGGGTTTGTAGGCTTGATAAGGCTTGTAGGGTTCTTCAGGCTTTAGGGTTTGTGGGGTTCGATAAGTTTTATGGATTCTTTTAGTGCGGGCTTATCAGAGATAGTACAAGGTTTGCTTTCGCCTTCGACAGGCTGGCGAGGTTACCAGGAGTTCGCTGGACTTAGGTGACCAGCACCCTTGGTCACAAGCTCAAGCAAGAAGACATGTGTCCTCAATTATAGCCCGAAGCCGACAAGAACTGCGAAAAGCCTCGGTGTGAAACCCCCCACCCGTCTAGGAGGACTCCCAGCAAAGATTGCTGGCCTCCACTCATGGAGAAGGCTTCCATAGGCAGTTTAGGGTATGTTGCAAAGGTAGCCCTAAACAAGGTTGCAGCAATGCTGCATCCTTTGGTAAGTGCTGAGCCTATACATCGTCAATACATGAACCCTAGTGTGAGCCCCTTTGCAACTCGTAGAACGCTGTGATTAAAACCAAACCACGTGAACACGATCTGCTTAAGCAGAACTCGCCGAGCGACGGAACAGCCCAAAACCACAACAAGTCCGATAACCCTCTCACACCCAACTTTTAGTGCAGCTGGCTTGCAACGTCCCGCGGCTTGATACCTAGACCCTAAAACCCACAATGACTCTAAACCCTATCAAACCCTCTCAAACCTACCTAGAACCTACAGCTCCACACCCTAAACTGCAAGGCCCCGAAGCCTATCAAACCCCCTTCCATGCCCAAACCGATGGCCTGCAGCGCCCCGGTGTTGTGGAAGTACGCAGCAAGAGCGAGGACTGACATACCCTTCGGGAACATGAAGTCCTCCAAGACAAAGAGTCTCGAAGGGGTTGTTGGGTTTAGGGTGTCGGGCATGCACTCATCCCGACACAGGGCTCTTTGTGTTTATGAGTCCTGGGTAAATTTCAGACTTTGAGACAGGTTTATGTGGCTCACGGGTGAAGGTAGAATTCAGGTATCAGCGTGCAGGGCTCAGGACTTGTAGGTCTTTTTGGAGCTCCTTGTTGGCAGTGTATCCGAGTTGGGATGAAGTTCTGTAGGGTTTCGGTGTTGGGGTTGGGGATGGTTAAAGGTTGCGGATTGGGGTTGTTTAGGGACAGTTGGCCTTCAGGGATTGGGAACGTGAAGCATCATGACTGGGAATAAATATTTTGGCTCGACCTTTACAGGTTGAGGGAAATTCAGCCCTTCATTTCGGACATGGGGTTGTTCTGAATGCGTGTGGCTCCAAGCTGGTTTATCCTGTTACCACAAATAAAAAAGGAACAGAACAGGGCCAGAAAAGCCGTCCATACTCACACAGCCAACGGCCACGAAGCATCCCGACATACAACAGGCTTGCAATGGGCCGTCCTTCTTATGCTTGCTGATCCGATCGTTGCAGTCCGCTTTGCGCTCCAAAAGTGCAGAAATGAGGGATGGGCTCCCAGCCATCACAGCATAACCTTGGAAGGTTCGCAGTACGTTCAAGGCCTTCGGGGTATGATCCGAGCGTGAATCCATGACCTACAGGATATATGCATGCATGTATGTAGTACAGCCATTCAAGCCCCAACGGCTGCCCTGGAAAATGTTCGAAGTAAGAACCCAAAGGGTGGCATGTCATTCGATTAGCGCCTACAAAAGTCATCTTTCCCGACCAAGCCGCCCAAAACCCTGAACCAAGGCACACAGTGGAGTCCATCCAGCTGGGTCTCGCGAAATGGGCTCCTGGAAGCCGTTCTGATGAAGAAACCTGACGGTGATCAGAAAGAGTACAGTATAATTTCGATTAGGACCAGAAGTGGATAGGATTTCTTACAAGCTAGACCCCTGTGTTACAGCCGGCCCAATGATGGCCCAAACACCACTCCACCGCCACGTCGAGCGGAGCTGTGAACGGGTCGGCCTGCCAGAAACAAAGGTGGAATCCCAACTTTACCAACTGGTAAGTACTTACCATGAACCCTAAATAAATCCTACGGTATTGTATCAACAAGCATGCTTCAAAGCAAAACTGCGCCACTTGAAGAATACGCTCCACAAGCTTCGGCTGAATTTTTCGGCCTGGGACTTGAAGTAAGGAACCAGGGCATCAATGGGATCGATGTCTGTGTTCGCGAAGAAGAAGGCAGCCTACCGCTCGGCGGTGCTGAAGGCTTTACGGATGCAGGCGGATGATTTCGGAGTTTACCCAAAGGCCTCAAAGTAGTTCCTTTTTGGGGTTCATATACAGAATCCTATACGTTAACCCCAAAAAAGAACTACTTTGGGGCCTCTGGGTAAAGGCTTCAGGGTTTCAGAGGCCCTTGCGCTGCGTGCAGGTGCAAGCCTGAATCTTCCAAAACGAGGTGCCCTAAACCCTGATCAAATGGGAGTTTCCAAAAATAGGGTAATATAGTACCCTAAATACAAGTAGTAGGATCCTTACTATACGGACAACCAAGTAAGGTCCCCCTAATTTTCGGAAACTCCCTCAAATAGCAAACCCAAAATCCCAGACTTCGCCCTGAATTGTCTGCCTGCTGGTTCAGAAGGAAACGATAG